TTTTTGCGTCTTCTGAAAAAGTATATTATCTGAGGGGATTTCAGGTGACTTGCTAGCAGACATGCTAATCAACTGCTCACAAGATGATGCAAAATATCCACCTCCATTTTCACGTGTTTAAATGTTGCCAGATCCAGACTGGTTGTACAAACCTTGGTATTTTTGGTGGAGATCAAAACACTTTGCTATATCTTGAAAACTGATAAGGAGCCTTTAAACAGGGCACCAAACCCCGATAGCCCTAGCTGTTCTGTAGAGAACCCTGAAGGGTGCGTTTGTGTAAAACCGTAAAGACGTCAAATTTCCCTTGTTAAACAAATGTTTAAAAATTGTTAAAAACATCCCAGAGTTCTGACATGTTTCCCAATTTGTTTGTGTTTGGTATTACAGCAGCAAGAAGGGAGCCGCCGCCCGCCGCAGAAAGTAGACTGGCACGCCCAGCCGCTGCTCAGAAACCAAACTGCAATCGTCTCGGACTCACGCCTGATGAAACAACGCACACTGTGGCGAAGCTCCTAGCTCTGAAGAAGCCCGTAACGCTGAGGTTTACTTTGCGGTTATCAACCCGTGTCCTGATACATGCAACCAGGAGCCTTTAGCTGCTGTTCAGTAGGAATAAAATTCGCCATCAACGCTTCCTCGCCCTCCACTGTTTGGTTCTCAGTATTTTTGTAAATAAAGTTTGACTCTTCAAGCCGTGTCTGTAGATCTGTTGTTATTCAGATCAATAAAGTTCAGTATTTTTAGTCGTGTAACTTTAAAGTCGTTTTGTGTTTTCTAACTGGAGAGTTGAAGGGTGCGTGTAAAGATGTGGTCAGCGGGTCGTGGAGGCTCATCTTCACCTCCGGAACAATTAGTTTACCACTGTGATTCAAGATGTCTTTATTTTATCCAAATGCTCTCAAAAGTATGGTTTATTTTTTAAATTGTTGAATCGATGAATTAATCAGCGCATGGACCTTTGTAGGGCTTTAATATAGCATTCATTTTCAGTTTTAAGTCATTTTGTCCAAAAAAATGTTAGAGGCCAACAAGATCCACCAGTTCTTGGTCAGAGTTTGTGTTTTTAGAGGCTTGAATCAAATAATCTTTCTAATGCTGCCTTCCAGGCAACTTGGAACTCGGAAATTTCCGACCTCAAACTAGAAAAACTACCCTGGAACTCCACCTGAAGTCGGGTTTCCTACTTGTGTCCCCCGACTTCACGAGTAGCAGCTGAATGATGTCACAAAACACACTGTAAATGGTAAACTATAAATTAAAAGGCAACAAAAAGTATATTTGCATGTTTTTAAATTAAATTAATATATACGATCATATCGTAAAACCTGTTCTGCATTTACATTGATGTAGAAATATGTTAGGTAGCTGGCTAAAGTAAAGACTCTCATAAAGTCTTCTTCTCTGCATAAAAGTTATTGTTAAAATTGCCAAAACATGAGGAAGTGTAACCTACAACACTGACTGACTTGAGGGTTACCAACTGATGTAGCTAGAGGGGTCCACAGTTAACTAGTAACGTAGAGGCTATTTATGTCAGTTGCTGCTGTTAAACTGCCGTCCTTTGAAGTAACACCTAAAACACTGCTGAGGGTTTTACTGAGTGTCCACTTTGTCACAGTCAGCCATGGTTTTCGTTCACTTTCGGCTTCATTCACCACCCTGGAACGCTTTGAGGTTGGAAGTCGTATATTTCAACTTGGACATTTCCCAGCTCCGAGCAGTCTGGGCAAACGCAGCATAAATATTGTCACTCTGGTTTGATTGAGCAAACTGGGAGCAGGTGTGGTTGTTAATTGTGAACACCTGTGTGCAGGTGCAGGTCTATAAAGCCCAGCAGAAACCTCTGAACGTTGACTTGGTGTCATATCAGGTTGGAAGCTCTGATGAGCAGCTCAGACAAGAGTTAAACGTTTTAAAAAGAGTCACTCTGGGGCTGTTTTTCAGTTTTTACTTTCAGATCCGACCAACACACGTCACTTCTTTAACTCCTCTTAAGCTGATGATAGACGGGGCGACTTTTTACTGCCTATCTTCACTTTTCTCCTGGACCTTATTTCAAGTTTATTTACGTTTGTCTTTACCAACTTGGGAATGTTAAAAAGCAACAGGTGTCTAAAGTTTGTGTAAGCTTCAGTGCCCTTTTCCTTGTAAGATCTTTTATCATATCACAGTGGGACAGGTGTAAATAATAAAATGATGTCAAAAGTTCTCGAACACCCTAACCCTGGAACTGGGGAACCAAGGAATGACTTGTGTCAAAGTTTTCATCCAAATATATAGCACAACTTTTACCAAAAAGAAATGATTCCAAACTGCTGTTTCGTGAATATTAGGAGTTGCTTGATGGAGATAAACAGCTGCGGAGCTATTTCTCAAGTCAGGTGCCAAAATATTGCAGAAGAAATGGACACAGCAAGTCGATGTCAGCTCCAGTCAAAACTCAAACGACGAAAAACACGATGGTAATCAGATCTGTTAGTTTCAGGTACAATTTCAATGTGAGGAAGGTTACAGCCTCCTCATCCCTGCAGACACATCTGATGTTTTCTGCTCTTCACTTTGTGCACACATGCACTCTTTTGTGCTCTGTTTCCATTTTCTCTTTATTGATGTACCAACATTTCAACCACAGCCAAGCATGCAAATGCACTTAACTGTCATGGGTCAATGGTCAAAACCTGGATATGAACGAGGCTATTGTTAATGTGAACACCTTCTCACCAGCCTGTCCTCATCTGAAAAATATTTATAGGTCAATTATGCAGCTTATTACGACTCATATTTACATCTTTTGTTAGGCTGCAAGTGGCTGAAGAAGTCAGGAGACAAGTATAAAGAGCAACAAAGTCCATGCAAGGAGGTGGATGGATGAGTCCAGTAAACTCAGGAGACTGAGGTTTGACTCCGAGTGAAAGAAAGTCAAAGTTGACACAGTAGATACTTCACCAACACACCTGTTTTCTAAGCATAAACACGCAAAACGCGATGCTTTAATCTGCTCAGTCTCTCCTCCACTGCAGCACGGCGCTAGTTCAGCTGACAGCTTATTGCTTGTTGTTGGTGGTTGAACTGTTTGGCTTAGTTTGCCTGTCCTTTAAAACATGGCACATTATAAACTCAGCTGCCGGAGACAGATCAGCCCTCCTCTCTACCAGCAGCGGAGGAGGACATTCTGTTGTGAAACCAGTTGCTGCTCTAGAAAAAACATTTAGTTAATAAAAAAATTAAATTTTATTTTCAAAGACAATTATTTAACAAGAAATGGGACTGATAAGACCATCGATAAAGAAATTAACCAATAAGGAGTACCAATACATGTCTGTCTGATTCCTTTACATCGTTTACCACATGTTAAACATCACGTGACATACATAACGCAGCCTGCTTAAAGTCCTAGGCCTACTTGTCGTTTTGGGGAACGGTCTACGGATATATGTTGTTTAGGGACAGTTGACAATCAACTTATTTTGTCGTTTAGGTGTGAGGACGTGTTGCAGCTCAAAATGTCTTCTGTGCAAAAGGTGATGTTGAGAGGTAAACACGTTTTCTGTCTAAATAAGATTCCCTCATTTTTTGTGTTTTGACAGCATAAACAGAAGTATGTTGATGAATCAATATATCATGAAGAACAGGGTGAAATGTTTTCAGTGTGTTTGATTTTGAAAGAACGAAAGCTTGATAGAGGCAGAAATACCTGCAGTTCTTCTCTACGATCACATGATGGCGCTGCTGCTCCTTGAGCCTGAGACCAGAGAGTCAATCTGTCCAGGTTGATTTGTTCTGTATTTATTCAGCAGTTTGTTTACAGCTTGTTGTTGTGTTTCTGTCACTATGGTACTATTTGCAAAAGTATGTGGCAATATTTCTCTCATTTCTCTTCATTTGTCATTTTAATGTCATTTTGAATGACATTAAAATGACTTTTTTGCTTTTAATTGTTTGTCTTGGATTAAGTGGTGGTGGTGATACAATGACTTTTCTCATTTGCTTTAACGGCCCAAAACACTTTCAAAACATGAAAACGTGCACCAAAAGCAAATATTTCCTACAAACAACTACTACTACTTGTGGTCAAATTAACATATTATTTCAATCAGTAATTACACAATGGACAAGAAAATACAAAATACAGCTATCAATGTGAACCAGTTCCACCTTATTTTGTGCTAAATGCCTGTGCCAGTTGATAATTTACATAGTTAAAGTATGTGCCAAAAAAGGCTAGCAAGCATATCACAGCATGAATTGTATTGATTTTCACGAGGATGATTTTGCTAGAGATTACTGCACCCGCACTTGTCACACTTTTTATACACATCTTTTATAAAGATAAGGCTGCTCCATGCCCATGAACTGTTGTGTAAGACCTGTAGTAAGTACCTAGATAAATTCGGACATTCATTATGTTACAGTTTTCATACTTCATTCCTTCTTCAACAAAGAACCAATAAAGAAATTCACCCAAAATCAGAAATACTCAAACAAACCATCAGATTTGTCCAAGTCATTCTTTTTTCCCAGGCAACTTTTCAAACTCAGAAATGCTAAATACTGTAAATAATTATAAAATAAACATAAAAGAATTTTAAGGGTTGAAATCACCAATAAATAAATACTCAGAACTTTATTTAGTCCAGTCGGGCCCCTCGGCCTCTGCCGCTCCTTGCATGCCTTTGGCCTCTTTGATCCATGCTTGCAAATAGCAACACATCTTTTTATAGACAGGTGAGGACTGATTGCTGGTTGAAGAGTTGCACGAAGGAGTTTTAACACATGTGTAATAAAGATTCATAAGTATGCAAGTAATTTCAATCTGCTGTGAATAGATGTTTCTCCTTCTTGTTCAACACAGTTAATCGAATGAAAAAAGCTAAAGCAATTCAAGATCATTGAGTCTTAATAATTAAATGTTTAAAAAACCTACAGTTACTAAATATCTGTTCAGCTAAAAATAAACTTTGCGTTTAAATGTTCTGGGGTTTTTAAGTTTTGGGGGCTTTTTTTTGTGCAAAACATTATATATTTCCTTGTAGCTTTTACCCAAAAAAATGTACCATTGTTATCCCGAATAAAATGATCCCAAGGCCTAAATAAAAAGTTATTCATAAAAAAAGAAAATTAAAAAGCGCAGTCATTGTTTTGTATAAATAAGCAGGTTAATTTATTTTCAATAGACTGTCACTCAGTTTTCAGATGTATAAATATAAAGTTTAACATTTTCACAACAAACAAAAGCACGTACAGACAGAAACATTAAATACATAATTAATACTTTCAGTTGGAACAAATCAGCTCTTATTTACATAATATGTACAGAAACAATATGGTCCTCCGCTGCAGTGAATGATAAATGAAATAACTTTTTCTCTATTTTTAGTATGACTTGGACAGGAAGTCACTACAGTACTCCCACAGTTGTATATGAGTCTGTGGCTTCTGTTGTTTAATACTGCAGTGTTTCTACAGAAATTGTTAAGTTTTTATATATCACAGGATTATTGTCTTTTTTTCCTGAGGGAATTGAACAGCTGGGGCTCTTAAGGACTTCAGATGGACAAAAAGTGGAGGAATGTAAATGGATGTTTTGGTTTTTTGGCCTCCGTCCTTCATCAAATAGACATTAAAGTAAGAAAGGAAGAAAAATCCATCTGAATGACTCAGCTGAAGCTTAAATATGTTTTCATAACTTAAAACAAATTTTAAAAAGTACAGCAAGAACTGAACTCATCAGAAAATTCTGTTTTTCAAAAAAAAAAAAAAACGTTGCAAAAACTACATTTCCCAGCATTCAGGGGCTCAAACATACTGAACTGTGGAAGGTCATTCATGCCAAGACAATTTATTTCATGTGTAGAAATTTTTGGAATGATCAAATCAACATCAAGGTCCAAATTATGATTTTGAGTTTTACATTCATTTTCATTTGTTGTTTCCACCATTTTATCAGTTTCCCTGAATGGGATAAACAAAATGTTTCCCCTTTTGTTTAAAATTACAAATTCAAAATTTTAAATTATGACATTTAAAATATCACATAGTTTTTGTATATACTTTATATATTTTTATTTAAAACATTTATTATTTGTCGCTGATACACTAAGAATATGGATTTTTAAACAATCCTTATTTTACAATTAAGACTTAATATTAAGATATAAACTTTGTGTTGTTCTTCTTCTTCTTAACTGGAGCCCCAAGTACTAGCACATTTCCAAAGTTTGACTGTATCTCATGGTCTTCATCAGAACATGGAGTTTGCACAGTAACTATAAAATCTATAAAATTTGAAGTCCATGTATTGATGAAGTCTGTGCGATGCGTTTGAGAGCTCAGTAAAAGGCCAGTAAGTAAGATGTTTCTTTAAACTGACACACTCTCAAAAGCTCAGGAGTGATCTTTCACACTGAATTTAGTTTTTCTGGCAGGAATGACCTTCCATACAAGGAAATAAAAAGAGGTGTGGACGGATGTTAAAAAAAAAAAACTTCTGTGATGTGTGTCAGGATGGTAAAGTCCCAGTTGTGAAGGTCTATAGGACTTGATAGATCACGTTCGGGTCCTGGCTGGCGGTCGGTGAGGGGAGCTGGACTGGCCCGGGAGCTGCGGCCTCACCGGCCTGGTCTGTTGGAGGGGACTCGGGGCCATCGGCAGCTGGAAGCAGGCTGCTGTTGTCTGTAGAGATCCGCTCCACAATGCTGGACAGACAGTCCAGACTGGAGACCACCGAGCTCCGGTCACTTTTCAGACCGCCTGCATGAAACCAAACATCAGAGTTAATAATTAAATTATTGACTTGTTAAACTACAAAATGATCTGAAAAAACAGTCGGGACACTTTCAAAAGACACCAAAAGGAACTGAAAATCTTATTGGTCCTTGGTTTGGTTTTATTTTAAATTAGTTTAATCAAATAAAAGTGTTGTTTATCTCTGGGTTAAACTAATGAGATGTTTTCATAAAGATTGTTTTGCTGATAATATATAAAATAACTAGGCTACTTAAAACGTAGTTCTTTTTATACAAAATATTTTATTTATAATTGACAGTTTAAAAAAACACTTAATTTTATTGTTTTATTGCTGCTTTTATTGCTTGTCCTGTTTGTCTTTCCCTGCTAAATGTCTTTTGTTTTACTACCGGGGACGAAAAAAAGTCTGTTTGTTTGTAGCCTAATTGGCCTGTTAGCTGCTAATATCATCGTAAATTGTATTATTAAAGTCTTTTCAGGTTTCTTACCGTTTGGAGTCTCTGAGAAATAAGAGCTTCTGTCATAACTTCCTCTTCTGTTTGAGTGACAGGTCGGGCCGTTAAAATCCGTCTGCAGAGGGAAAAAAAATTTATAAAGAAATTAGATTTTTACAACACGGAAATGCTTAAAATGAGCCACATTATCATGCTCCTATTAGTTTTAGAGAAACACTGCAGCTTAAATGTTGCAGCAATATGATCAAAACATCAAAAGTAAAGAAAATAATTGAAACTGTAGAAAATGCCAGATATTTTAAATAAATTCACAACACACTACTAGACTGTGTCTTATAGAAATTCAACTTTTTTTTAAAAATAAAATGTTTTATTTTTATTAATTACTGCGGACCAACAAAGTACAATCATATCAAAAAATGACAGAAAACTACAGAACTATCAAGTGTCACAAAACGAAATTATACATCTTATTATTATGCTGATTTGTTTCAACACATTCGTTAAATTCCAGATATTTGTTCGATCTATATGTCGCGACTCAACGTTGTGTCGCATGTTTTTACGTTTCAAAAACCGCAACTGATTCTTAAAACATAAACCACGTCCTGTTTTAAAATATTAATAAATCAGCTCATTATTTATTTAGGTCAGAACTCTTGTGATGAAAGGAACTACAAAAAACGAGGATGATGCAGCGCGGAAAGGTTCTTTCCCCGAGAAAAAACTTGTATTCGACCTGCTTAGTAGTTTTTTCTTTTCATTCTGAGAATTAACAGGCCTACAGATAATTACAATTAAATTCAAAGTCTGCAACTTTAGCTCTTCTGCTTGGAGGTGTAAAATTGTTTGGACACAAAAACAGACTTTACATGAAATGAGAGAAGAAAAGAGTTAAATGTGGCCCAACAATAGAAACAAAAAAAGCTTAATAGGTGAAGTTTAGTTTCCTGTGTTTAAAATGTTGCATCGGAAATTGTTAAAATCAGAATTTGAATTGCAGTCGTCATCATCACTCATTAAACAAAACCAAAGTAAATCAAATAAATCAATTTACATTAAATCAAATGAAGTGAAATATAAACGTGCGTAAAGACGCACTGGAGAGACGCGACCAAAGCGCACAGCCAGACTCTTCTCCACGGACCCCCCCCTCTTGCCCTCTTTAACACCTGTCAGTCCCTGAACTCACCATGCCGTCGGAGCAGTTGGAGCGGGGGCTGGAGGCGTCTGAGTCCCCGCTGTAGTGCTCCAGCACCGGGTAGAAGCCGTCGTCCTGCCCGCCGCGCAGCAGGGCCTGCAGGGACTCGATGTAGCTGATGGCGTTGCGCAGGATCTCCACTTTGGGCAGCCGCTGGTTGGGGTTGGCCGACGTGCAGCGCTTCAGGGTCTCGAAGGCGTCGTTCACCTTGCTTAGTCGCCGGCGTTCCCGCAGCGTGGCCGCCTTCCGCCGATCTGCGTTGGTGGTCTTCCGCTTGCAGGCCTTGCAGGCCCAGAGCAGGCAGCGGCCCGCCTGGTGATGCCCGCTGGGGGCGCGGACGTGCTCGTCGTCCTCCCCCTCTGCGTGGTGATGGAGATGCAGGAGGGAGGACGGGGAGGAGGAAGAGGAGGAGGAAGGGGAGGGTGAGGCCGAAGAGGAGGAGTCGTCCGGCTTCAGTAGGCCCACATGGACCAGCCGCGGGTCCAGGTCCTCGAAGAAGTGCATGTCGCTGGTGTTAAAGCAGGGGTCGTCATAGAAATCATCAGCGGCAGGGATGGGGAAAGAGATATCCGACAGCTCCATGGTTCAGTCCCAAACACACCAAACAAGACAAATCCAGCGAAAGAGGCCAAAACAAAAACTGTTAACAGGAAAGAAGAAGAAGAAAGAAGAAGGGAACAGGAGAGGAGAGGAACTCAGATGTGAAGCAGTGTTTTCGGGGGAATGTAGAGTCCTGTCACAAACTGTTCTGTCCTCAGCTGTTGACCAGGATCTCCTTATACCTGGGACATTCGCAGTGGGCGGGGTCAGGACGGTGATGACCACTGATGTCCACTGATGTCTGACCAATCAGCTGGCAGCAGGAGGGGTTTACAACTTCACGGTAATTAGTGTACAATTACCCGTAACAGAGCAGTAACAGCAGGATAATATGCTGCTGCACACATGAGGGGAGGGTACACTTGAAGAAATATCAGGATATTTTTTAGTTTTTGTCTTTTCTATTGCCTTTTCTTTTATTCATTATGTTCTGTGCAAGTTACTTGTTGACTAATAACATTTTAATGTAAAGTACACAATGAAAAATGGTATTTGAATGCAATTGTCTTGGCTTGCAATATTTGACCGATTTGAAAGAGAATAATTAAATATATTGATTTATATAATTACGAATCACTGAGGAAAAAATGAATTAAAAAGAAAGAAGGACTTAAAATTAAACAAATGTACAAAAAACAAATACACTGAAGTGACAATAAAACGATACATAAACCTGAAAAGAATAAAGGGGTGGAAACAAATAAATTCCAAATACAGTTAAAATAAAAGTATAAGTATAAGGGAACGAAATTTCACATTTATTTGGATTTATATTTATGTACAGTTGTAACTTAAGCAGGTTTTCCTCCTTCATAAAGGCCTATTGGCTGTGATGTTGTCGCAGCTGAAGTTCCTTCAGGGATGGAAATCAGGTCCAGATGAAAAGTAAAAATAAAATTAAAAAGCTGAAAATGAATGAAGTCAACTGAAACCCAAAACATCCTGATAATACCCCACACGCACGCACACGCACGCACACGCACGCACACTTGAAAATAAAACGAATCAACTAGAAATACTAGAAATGAAACGAATCAACAGACGTGTGTCACATCCAAAGTTAGCAGAAAAGACTTCACACTGCGCTCAAATTTCACTTGAGCCAGAACACCTTTTTTAAGAGTGTAAATACTGCATGAAAGTGTGAACCGAGTAATCAAGTTAAATGTCATTGCGTTTATTTTTAGTTTGCAGTCGGAACAGATTCACTGACCTCCTCCCCTCTGCCTGTAACCCTCCTCCCCCCCTTCGACTGCCACCACCACCGCCGCGACTTCATCCAGAAACTTTAAAATGCAGATTATTGATTTTCACAGAACAGAGGTTCACGTCGGTGTAGTGCAGCTGCAGTAACACCAGCTGCTGCAGCTGGATGGCGCTGCAGAGCAGAGATCCTGCAGCAAACTGTTTCTGCACCACCAGTGTCCTGCAATACCTGTTCTCTTCCCCCGAGCTCTGTCTTGCAGGCTGTGAACTATCTACCCACCAACCTCTGTCAGTCAAACGTGACAGATGGTTAGAAGCTGTACTACGTGGACGCTTTAAGTGTTTGAGAAAATATTCAAACCCTCTACTCAAAGGATTATCACTGTCACTACAAAAATTATTGACATGTCTTTTAATGCAGGACCTAATCCTATAGGCAACAACCAAATACAACTTGTTATTGTTTTTTGCTGCTATTAAAGGTTTGTGTATTGCTACGTGATTAATGTTTCTAGTTAAACACACTTAAACGTCTAAAACCCTAAAATTATGCAGTAAAGTAAATTTTTAAAATTCCTTAAATACACTGATTTTGACCCATGTATCATTTTTTACATCATTTTCACAGTGCTGGTGTAGAGAGAGACAAAAGACAAATCTGCTAAATAATTTTTCTAACCTTAACTTTTATTACATTACATTGTAGAATAACACAAACCAAACCTAAACAAACGATCTACAAACTATTTCATACAACTGTCAATGGCTTCTCCTTAACAGGGGATCTCTGTCTGGCCAATAAAAAGCCAACAAAACAAGAAAATGATATGTGGTTAATAAGAAATAACAAGATAAAAGTTTTACAACTTGCTTCATTTCCATTTAGGAAATATTCAACCCTGTTTCTCTGAATTCTCTGAATATTTTCGCAATATTATGTGCTGTTTATTTTAAAAGGCCTAAATTCTCCGCAATCTTGCGTTAAGAAATGTTCCCTTAGAACTGATTTACAATTTTCTCACGAATTTTGGTACAAAGCGTTGAGCCGCGAGCCACCGAGCCTTCGGCGGATGCTGCTTTTATATCCAATCATGACACCTCACCTGTCTCCAATCAGCCTGCTTATTGTGAAGTCTTCCAAACAGGTGTGACTTATATTCTGTGAACTTTTCAATCGTATATTAAGTAACTTTTCTGGAAATGGTAAGGTAAAGGAACGCCGGGCTACCAACTCCAGATCTCTGCTAGTGGCACTGACTGGAGAACCTGACATGTTTTTGAAGCGGGAGGAAACCCAAGCAGACATGGGGAGAAAAATTCAAATTCTAACTCCTGGATGACCGAGTTTCGAAGAGCTTTGCTGTGAGGCCAGCGCTATCCCCTGGACCACCACGCCTTAGTTTGAACATCCCACATGCCTTGTTGTTTCTCTGTAAATAAGGAGTAAAAAAAGCACACAGCTCGTTGTTGCTGTGTAATTATATGGGCACCCACTCTATCCACTGTATGGGATAACAGTGGATAGAGTGGGTGTCTTTTTCTAGTAGGTTATTTCTTATTTCACCATTTTAATTCGACTTCATTCTCCGCTTTGTTTTAAAGTCAGTATTTGAACCACACACACCTGCACCTCTGATCTCTCTCTCTCCAAACACATCTGCCCGCCTCTTCCTGTTTCACTCTCCCTGTATGTCTTCTCCGCTGACTTTCTCCATTCAGCTCTGTTTACCAGCACTGTACCCTGTAGGTACCCAGCATTTTCAGTATAATGGTTACAGATTGCAAACCAAAATGAGAGCAGACGATCAAATAGTTGCATTTGGTGTTACAGCATGACATTTCATACAGTTTCTCTTCTTTGAAATAACTATGAATGCTTATGAATTATTTTTTTGCGGGCTGTGTGTCTGCAGGTTCTGTGTTGTTGTCCAGTCGGTGTTTTCAGGCCAAAATGGCAGCAGTGCTACCGAAGCAGCATCTAGCAGCAGTTGCCAAAAAAGCCCCAGTTTTTACTCTTTGTTTTAATGCCCTTGCAGCTGGTCAGCAGCTGGCATATCTCAACCAGTAAGCCAACTTTGCCTTTTAGCGTTACTATGCAGAATCCCTCACAGAGCGGCTTCTGAAAATAAAAAGAGTACAGAAATGAGTTGTCTAAGCAATATTACAGCAAAAATGGACGACATGACAGCTCCCCAAAAGTGAAACCAAAACATTTCCTTTTCTGATAAGTTTGGGTTTAATTAGTTATTTCATACTGACATGACAACTCAAACACCGATTACTACTGCGCAGACTCTGGCTCCAAATGACGTCACCAGTGCAAGATGGTAGCGCCCGTATCTGGAATATTTTGGCTTCATTTTTGTACAGTGGGAGGAAGTAGAGACACGTCGCCCATCTTTATTTACAGTCTATGGCCGGGTCAGCAAAACTACAAAATCAATTCATTACAATGCAAACTTTGCAATCAGTGGATTCATTTGTACAGGGAAGTAAATCTACTATTTCTGTTCATTTTTCATTAAATTTGTGTGTCAAAAATAAAGGAAACTATCATTAATTGTGTCTCAACGTCATCTAATTTTATATAAATTGCTCCTCAAGAAATGCACAGCTGTAAGTACTACAGTCATTGTGTCAAGATGCAAAGAATATCCGTTATAAACAACCAGCAAAAAGCTTTCAACCGCGAACATTTCTGCATTTAATTTATTGAAGCATTTACTAAAGCAGCACAGCAACGTGAAACTTGTAGAAAGAAACTCTGGCGGCTTCTGCCAGAGATGCCTGGACTCATCGGGAGAGAACGGTGTTAAGCAACATAACGTTTTGTAAAAGCACTGAATATAATACATGTGCAGGAAAAACCATAGTTCAAAAGTCGGGACATTGAGAAACGTCATGTTTTATAAAAACTAAACTCCTTGTTGCTGTTATGAACATGATATTAGTTGAGGGGTAGTGAAAGTAAAAACATAGCGAGTAACAAAAGTAGTTACTTTTATCACCCAGTAATAAGTAAAGTAATATTATTACTTTAAGGAGTTGTAAGTAACTAGTAATTAGGGCTGGACGATACGGCCAAAAATTATCACAATAAAAAGTTTGATATCTTTCGATATCGATAATTATCACGATAAGAATCAAATCGTTATTTCTTTCGAGTTTAAAGTCTGATTTTTTTGCTCCTGAGTTAAAGTTGAAGAAACCTTATGGTTAATTGTGGTTTAAACTCTTCTTTATATTCAACACTTGAAGCCAAACAGTGGATCACTTCATAAATCTGAGGTAAAACATACAAAACACACAAATCTGAGTAAAATTAAGTAAAAGCTTTTTTCAGTCAAAATTAAGTCCTAATTCGTTCATTTATTTCATTGTAATTGGGGGAAAAAAATATTGCAATAATTATTGTTATTATTTTATTTTCCAGCCCTACTAGTAATATATTACACTTTCTGAGTAACTTGCCCAACACTGGCTATTGATGATGGCTAGCTAGTGAGCGTACCACCAGTAAGCTCTCCAATCACATTTGATCGCCAACCAGCCGCACATGTAGTCACTACGTCACCGAGCATCCAGAACCAGAAATTTCGTAGTGATGTGTGAATGAACTTTAATGTGTCCCCTTTCTCATCTAAACACCCACCTAACATCTAGTCTACTAATTATTTCCCTGACTTGTCCTCTGTCGCCACCATCGGGACAATCTTGCCACTTGAACACGTGAATCTAACAGGAAGATTTCCAAAAAGCTGCAAAATCACATCCCTGCCTTCTAGAGGTTAAACTGTACATTTACTTGAATCATCAACATGTTGTTTGTTAAACATTTTCTTCTTGGCCCTCTTGTTTTTCACCCAGCAGTTTCATCACCAGACAGTTAGTTTGTCTCACGTTGCATTAAAAACTTGCAAATCATAAGTGTTCATTGCCAGACCCCAATTAAACTTGACATTCAAACTACTTTGACCCACTTTTGTTGCAGCGCTTGCGACTACGATTAAGTTTCTTCTAAATAAAAGTCCTTCTCCCCGATGTGCTCAAATTATTTTCGCCCTGCTGTATTATCAAGTGATGTCAAATGATCCCACAAACAAAATCGGCCACAACCCACAGACGCAAAACAAAATGGAGCATGAAGTGACATGTGAAACTAAATCAAACTAAAGTGGACTCTGTTGTCTCGTTGAGGTGCACGGCACTAGAGAGACGGATAACGAGGTGTCCCAAACTGCTGCTGACTGGGCCCAGGCCTCAGTCCTGAAACGATTTTACACGACTCATAAACCTGGGCTGGCGGTCAGAGGCCACGCTGCGACGCGCCAACGCCACTGGCCATCTGGAAACGCCATCAGCACCACCGTCCCTCTGCCGCAGCATTAATCTCGCCAATTTTCCGGAACTCGTGGGGGGGGGGAATGTACACCCTGAGCCTGGGGCAGGTCTCCGGGGGTTTGACATCCCTGGCCCCCCTTCCCGCTACCTATCGCTAACGCCTGGCATAAATGAAGAGCCGCGTTCCAAAATGAGATCTCTGCCGGTTGGAGAAAAAAAAAGGAACGGGGTAGATA